CCTACTCCTCCTCCTCCTCCTCCTCCTCCTCCTACTCCTCCTCCTCCTCCTCCTCCTCCTCCTCCTTTCCTCCGCTCCCTTCTCTCTGTCTTCCTCTCCCTACTCCTCTTGGTCCCTTTTATTCTCCTCTCCCTGCTCTTTGTTCTTCCTCCTCTTCCTCTTCCTCCTTCAGCCTGTCCTTCCAAGGGAACCTCAAGACTTCAGCCTAGGAATGTCGCCGGTTGCTCCCTTTCTTGCTCAACGGAATCTCGACCAACTTCACAATTCACAGCAGCAGCAGCAGCAGCAGCAGCAGCAGCAGCAGCAGCAGCAGCAGCAGCAGCAGCAGGCTGAGAGGGCTACAGGGAGAGCAGAGCTTGACCTGTTCAGCTCTCACGTTGATAGGCTCGAAGAGCAGGGCTCGTCCCTCTCCCTCCTCCTTTCCTCCCTCCTCATGGACATTCGCCGACTGCAAGATGCTCAGTTCTGCTCTCCTTTGATCCTGACGGGGAGGAAAAAGGAGCAGGCGCAAGAGCAGGAGCAGGAGCAGGAGCAGGGAGCTGGGATCGTCCTCAAGCTTCACAAGTCAGAAGACGGACTGAGCCGTCTTCGAGTCGATCGAGTCGAGGGGAAAGCACCCGAAGGTGGAGGAAGAGCCGGAGCAGCAGCAGCAGGAGAGCAGCTGGAGGTGGAGGTGGGAGACTTACTCCTGGCCGTGGACAAGCAGCCGGTCTTCGAGTGGAGCCTAGGGGTCCTGACGAGCCTCTGCTCGGGAGCTGCTGGGGTTCCCCTCCAGCTGAAGTTCGAGAGGCCGCAAACTGGTGGAACGGTGGAGGTGGAGGTCAAGAGGAGAAGGCTGATGGTGGAGTCGTTCGAAGAGAGCTGGAAGGCAGGTGGGGAGGAGGAGTACTGGAGGAGGAGAGCCATGAGCGTGGACGAGATGCTGACGGGGGTGGAGGAGGAGTCCCGCCAGCTTCAGGAGAAACATGCGGAGCTGGTGGATGAGATTGAAGGGGAGAGGAGGAGGAGGGAGGAGGAGACGAGGAGCATGGAGGAGGAGAAGAGGAGAGTGGAGGAGGACAAGAGGAGGGTGGAGGAGGAGAAGAGGAGGGTGGAGGAGGAGAAGAGGAGGGTGGAGGAAGAGAAGAATATGGTCGAAGAGGAGAAGAGGAGAACTGCAGAGACTGTGGAGGAGGAGGGGAGGAGGGTGGAGGAGAAGAGGATGAAGATCAAGGAAGACACGACAAGGATGGAACGAGAAAGGAATAGCATTGCAGAAGAGAAAGCGAAAATGGAGGACGAGCGGAAGAGGACGGACGTGGAGAG